AACTACTTTCGAGCTGATCTAAGGCCTGCTCCATGAGATGAAACCTATATCTGGCACCATTATTAAGACAAAGAACCTGTGGATAGATAGGTCTTGGATAGGTGGGATCAACATAATAAAAATGGCAATTTTATCAAAAGCATTCTACAGAGTCAGTGCAATCCACATCAAAATCCCAATACAATTCTTCACAGATCTTGAAAGAACATTACTCAACTTAATATGGAGAAACAACAACAAAAACACAGAAGAGCTAAAACAATCCTGTACAATAAAGGAACTTCTAGAGCCATTATCCCTGACTTTAAGCTCTACTATAGAGCTGTAGTAATAAAAACAGCTTGGCGTTGGCATAAAAACAGACATGTGAATCAATGGAATCAAATTGAAGAAGACCCTGACATTAATTCGTGCACATTATAAACACCTGATTTTTGACAAAGAAGCCAAAAAAAAAAAAAGTACAGTGGAGAAAGGAAAACATCTTTAACAAGCAATGCTGGATATCAAATGTAGAAGATTACAAATAAATCCATAGCTATTTGCCTTGCAAAAAACTCAAGTCTAAATGGACCAAGAGCCACAACATAAAGCCAGTTACATTGAACCTGATAGAAGAGAGCGTGGGAAGTAGCCTTGAATGCATTGGCACCGGAGACCACTTCCTAAATAGAACATCAGTAGCACAGACACTGAAAGCAGCAATCATTAAATGGGACCTCCTGAAATTGGGAAGCTTCTGTCAATAAGACAAAAAGGACACAGTCGATAAGACAAAAAGCAGCCTACTGAATGGGAAAAGATCCACTCAACCCCAAATCTGGCAGAGGGTTGATCTCCAAAATATATAAAGAACTCAAGAAACTAGACTACAAAATACCAAATAATCCAATAAGGCCAGCTGGACTGTGACTGAAAAAGCATGGGATAAAACCGGACTCTCTGATCATGGCGAACAATAAGGACTGATGAGAAGCCAAGGTCAATGGCAAGGGGTTTTGATCCTACTTCATGATCCGGCTTGGTGGGAGCCTAGCCAGTTTGAATGTTCACCTTCCTAGACATGGACGGAGGGGGGAGGTCCTT